TTCATTATCTATGAATAATTCATTTTCTTAAGGAACTTCTATTTTAATATATTTATATATACAGATTGTGTATGGTTAATTAATTTTGAATAATCATACAATTTGAATGATACATTTTTTGATCCAGCCCCCGAGCGTTTTAAGTTTTGAAAAATTATTATAAAACTATTAAATTAACATCACAAAACATTAAATACAAATTAATTATTATTTTACTTTATTGTATAATATGATAACATAATATTATTATGTTTCACTGTTTAGATTTTAAACATAATAACATGATATATTTAGACTTAATTTTATTTTTTTATTTATAGTTAGTTATGTATTCTCAAAAATGTTAACTATTTTAATTTTTAATCTATGATAATTCATACTCCATTAATATTCAAATTGGTATTCTATAAACAGATAGGTATTAGATACTAAAAAATTGAAACATTTGCTTGTGATGTTACATATTTACACATTCTTATTTACAGAATCTATATACTTAAAATTATTAAAAATTGTATATAGGTACATTAATTTGTTTTAGAGTTACACCAAAAACCAAAATTGATTTTTTCGAAAACAAATTTTGTGTAAAAATTCCCGTTTTTTCTTCATTTTTTTTTTTTGTTTTTCACGGAACTTTTAAAAACTACAAGAAAAATTTACTTTTGACGCCCCAAAGTAAAAACTAGATTCACTTTCCTATCAGAAAAGATACGGTTGAAGAAAATCCAAGCACTTTTACTGTCCTAAAAGGTGATGACAGACACAAAAAAAAAAAAATAAAATAAAAAAAACACACATCATTGTAAAATCAATACATGCATCGTTCCACTCAGAATCTAAAATTAATTTAGGACCTTGATGACCTAAACATCTTGAAATTATGAAAATAATCAAATAGTCAAATATGATTAGAAATTATAACTGTATTATATTATTATCATAAGCTGTTTTAAAAAGTAAATTAAAAATGTGTATAATATAAATATGTCAAAATGACAATGAAACATTATTTTCGATAGGTAATAACCCACGATTCCCTCCTACTTGGAATGTATAAGATACTTAGATTTACCAAATAATATTTAAGCTTAATAACAACATGGTCTGGTCATGACTTCAGACTTGTTTATATTAAATATATACTTTATGTATATAATAGTACAAAGTGTCCACGTTGTGTAATCTAAAGTTTTACCTGACCGTACAAAGTAACCGTTTACCAGTTACTAGCGATATTGTTTATTGCTTAAAATAATATTTCCCAATAAAAAAATGTACCTTTTTTGCCTATACACATTAGGCGCAAATTTGGGGGGGGGGGGTTAAGTCCCCCCAAACTAAGCCATAGCCCCCCCCCCCAAAACCTAGGACATACAATTTTAATATGCTATATTGCAATGGTCTGCTTGCCTTTAATATATTCAGCCCCCTCAAGTTAAAAGTTGAAATTGCGCCTATGCCTATACATTCGCAGTGTTACGGTAACATAAAGTTTGTATTTACAATCATTTATTATAAAATATTTCAATATTACCATCACCACCATGTGCCAGTATTTATACTTAAACATGTTTATAGTTAAATCGTTCATTTGTTAAATAAAACCTTTAAAATGTATTACTTATTGATCGTCAAATAAAATGATTCATTAATTTTTCATAGCGCCGCTATTTTCTCATTTCATGTTTGATTAATTATAAATGATCAACTTTAATCATATAATTTAATTATAAATACGACCATTTTAAAAGGGGTATAATATAGGGAAAAAAATCTCTGATTTTTTTTTTTAAAAACCATAGATACTGTCCGGTTGAATTACTGAAATCAAACGTCGACATGCTACTGAAATGGAAATAATGGCTACACCATAATGTAATACGCTGGCATTTTTTTAATTTGTATCTATCCATCTATATATGCGTTTTGTTTGTTACCGTAAGTGTAATACAAATAAATGATAAAAATAACATTTAAAAATGTAATTTATCTTGTTCAGCTTTATTTTAGATCAGCAGCAAGAAACAAAAAATAAAAATACTATACGTACCGATCGCTTGAATAATAATATCTGTTTACAAGTAATATATAAAAATACAAAATACAAATACGTACATACGCGTATGCAAATGTACTTATTGATTTGAATGCACTGAAAACATTAATTACACAGTATAACGAAACGAATCAAATGTACACTAATAATACTGAGAAACTTAATAATCGTAAAATTGAGTTCGGTGGTTCATAGTACGTAGACAACAAAACCTAATTAGAAGCATACAAAGTCAATAGGACCAAGCTGGTGGTGTATTTTTGTTTCAAAAACCATATTTTTAGTATTTAATGTATACAAATACATATAGAAAAAACGAGTAAATGTTTACTTTCCAAAAGCGTACGCAAATTAACACATCTTCTGAACTTCCGCCGCATCGATAGAATAATACGCGAAAGACTTCTCGACAAATTCCTCAGCGACAAAGGTCACTTCAGCCGTGGTGACATTATACATATATTTTTTTGTAATCATTATTATGATATTAATACTTTTTTCCATCTCTCCTCCTCCAACTGACTATAACCCAACTTGTTTACTTTTATATTTCATTTCTTAACCTTAAGGTCATCGCCGATGCAAAACGCTTTTATTATTCTCACCATGGCAGTCCAGTTGGATGGGGGGGGGGGTTGTAGTGGGTGGGTGGGGGTTTGCCCTATACGTTGTCACGCAGACCAGACACGGGAAAGCTCAACGATGACGACCACCACCACCGCCATCAACATCACCAACACAACCGACACCACTGTGTGTGATTTTGCATTGCCATTCTCGGAGATCTGCCAAAACTATATAATAATAATAATAATATATATTCACGACCATCTCATCAACTTCTACCACCAAACCCACCCCATCGTAGTTCTGTCAAACCGTCATCAATCTCTCGCCCGTCGCACTGATACTAAAACGGCGGCATCGATATTATTTATATTATAATATTATTACATTCGGTCGGTACTGTTGCAAAGCTAAAGTATATTATATGTAGGTACTAGGTACGCGTTTAATATATATATAAACTGTACATTTATAAGCGAACGGAAACGGAGACAGGTATATAAAAACAGTATTATGGGTTAATATATGTACTATATTTAGGTGCAATATCGTGGCGGGGTCGGTCGGCGCGCTCTTCAGATACTACATATATCGGGGCACAAAATATGGGTTTATCGTCAAGATACCTTTTTCTTTTTATATATATATTATAATATACATTATACACCCACTGCTATATAATATACCTCTCAACCGCCTCGAGACGACGTTAACCAATATCACATGTAATACCTACACTATAATATTATATACTCATGTGTTGGCGAGGTGTGTAGGAACGTTTTATATCCCCAACGTCCGGAGACTAATCATCCGTGATGGCCCGCCGCCGCCGCCGCCGCCGCCGCCTCTGCCGAGTTTAACGACCGTCGTCGTACACACACGAGTTAGATATCGCGCGCGACCGTCTCCTCGTCTGCCCGACCCGCCACCGCTCTTTGCACGCAGGGTGGCGACGACTAAGACGACGATGACGACACACTATATATGTAGTGCATCCGACTAATACACACACTCGCTTTCGCCAAAATAATCGTAAACGTATTAAGTGGATATTAGGTGTACGCACGTACAGGATATACGGCCGCGTGTTACACACATAGGTGTGTACATATATATATATTTCCGGCTATAACACGTACACCTATTGCAGCTTATATATATATATATATTATTATAAGGTGTACTCTCCCCCAGCGTGCACCACACGCTTATATAGCATCACGTACACGCCGTCCCCCGACCCGCCCTAACCTGCTCGTACGATTATATTGTACGCGTATTACATTATACGTGTGTACACGCGTATTAAATACGCTATGAGGTACTGTGATACTGCTGCACACGGTGTATACCACATACCATATTATACCGCGGTGTGTATACCTACATGCCACTGCTGCAGTGACACCGCCGCCCTATTTAACGCCTATATTGGCGACGGCGGCGGCGGCGAAACGATTACGCGGTTCGGCGTATAATATTCGAAAACGCGCGTGTCTGAGCGATAACGAAACAGTTATTTCAGCTGCTATATACTTGGAAATAGTTATTTTTAAACTTCAACTGTATAATAATATTATACTTACATTATAATAATGTTATATACGACCGTATCTATTTCCATGGCCGCGGGGCGGATGACACTCGGGACGCGCTTAATAATATTATACTCACTGCAGCGGAGATATCATCTCTATGTTATATAAAGTCTCACGGTACGTATTGTTAAATGTTATGTTTATTTACAAAATATTCTCCACTGTTACGCGGTGAACTTTCTCATTTCGTCGCTATACGTTATTATGTATAATATTTATATACGTAGATACATATTATTATGCATGTATATATTTTATACGTACAAGTTATATAATATGTATGACGTATGTATATAATAATATACCCCGTACGTCGTTTTACATAATATATATTGAATGGAATTAAGTCACATAAAACAATCAAATTATATTATTTACGAATTATAAATACAACCCAGTGTGTACAGAATAATTATATACCTAGAAGTAGTTGTTGTAGGCAGTACTCGCTTAGAATTAATAAGTGCTAAATATCTTCTTGATAGATATTAGTTAGAAAATATTAGAATACAATGTATACTAATTAACAAGTATCGGCGGGAATGTACCTTTTCCAAGACTATGTTAATACCTCGAGAAAATTGTTCATGTCAACTTATTTAATATTCAATGTTTAAGTAGTTCGTTTAAAATACACTCTATATTCAGTATAATAAATAATGATAAATCCATATTAAAGTATATTGTGATGTGTTATGCGTACCATATAATATGCACACTATCGCGGTGAGCTTATCGTGATTGTCTTCCATTAATCCCTGGCTTAATTTCAGGAAATAAATTACGACTCAGCTCGAGGCGGGGTGAGTGTGATCACGGAGAAAGGCGAAGTAACCACCAGTTATTTGCTCGTACAAAGAGCGACCAGCACGGATTCGGGAAAATACACGTGTCACCCAAGCAATGCAAATCCTCACACCGTCGTTGTACACGTCCTTAATGGTAATTATTGTAATTTAATCAACATTCAACAATTCAATAACTTCGCAAAGATATTGCGATAACAATACACGAACAATTTAAACTTTCAAATTGTATCAGTCAATTATAATAAATAACTATAATATACTATAGTCTATAATAAGAAACTTCTTCAAAATTACTTTTGAAATGTCATACATATAATTATATAAACCTTAAACTATATAATCCCGTTTTTAAATTTTATATTTACAGTCTACATGTCTATAAAATATTCAACCAAAAAAAATTGTTTTTTAAATAATTTATTTATAACTGTGACTTGTGAGTCTTACAATACATACCCACTTAAAATACAAAAACATATTAACATAAGGGGATGAGGTGGCCGAGAGGTCTAACGGGTCGGCTGCGGCGCTCCCAGTCGCGGTTTTGATTCTCGACCACCGGGCGGCATTTTTCTCCGGGCAAGTTACGGTGTCCGGAAAACAAGTGTCGCCATCCCCCACTCCGGGGCATGGCAGAAACCTACGGGTGCCCCAGTCGAAATTCTGCCAAAAATACACCCACGTGTAACACACCTATCGTTCCAAAACCTACAGTACCAACCCCCCTCCCAATGGCATAAGTTGCCGCGGGATAATTAATAAAAAAAAAATATATATTAACATAACATAACATATACACAGTAAAAGTTTAAATATAAAACAAAATTAACATTTGATAATTGTTGTAAACAATTTCAATAATGTTCAAAATTTATAGGTAAACTAGTAAACTACTGATCCTTAGTTAAAATTATAGTATTTATTGTATAAATAAAATAAGACAAATACCTAACCTGACCGTCAGTAGCTGATCCAGACGTCACCCAAGGGGAAAAGGGCAAATTAAATTGTCTTTTTTTAGCCTAATATTATAATAAAAAAAAAGTTAAAAAGACAGCCCAAAGGGGGGGGGCTAACTAGGTCACAAACCGCAACAATCGTATACGTTTTAGCGACTTCGTTGGCGCGGCGCGTTGGCTGCTACCAGTCACGCAATGCGACTGTAACGCCCGCTGCTACTAATTCCCGGATGGGTGACCACCCGGGTATTTAGAAGTAAAAACCTTGCCACACATACACGAGTTGCTTACCTACCGTAACAACCATAACAATACCTTACCGTAAAAACCTCACAAACCGCAGTTCATAACCCCTACAACAGCTTATGGCCAGTCACCGGGCTTAAGTTTGATTAAAAAAAAAAAACTTATACCATGATATAATATAATTGTATATTTGAGATTATATCCATAAACAACATTCCAACTTAATACTATATTATGAAGGCATATGACGTAATTGAATTCCAGGTTTTTTATTTTGAATTTAAGTCGTAATATAGTATAGTAATATACAAAATATTGTTAAAACGAATAAAGTATCCACATAAATGTATAATAACTGTCCAAATGCAATAATTGTTCCTAGTCTACAAATTCACACATGAAACTAAATTGTAGATTTAGGTTGTCCATTAAGTAATATTGGTAATGTAAATTATTGATCTCGATATTTTTTAATAATATTATTTATATCCATTGGCCGGCGCATTGTATAGGCAATTTCGGTACATCGGTGTGTAGGGGAACTGTATTCCACGCTTTGTTTTCGGTATCGAATTAAATACGGGACGACAATAACCTGAAAACTAACATCTCTATGGACACAAGCGACTACTGCTGCTTAAAAGCAAAAAAACGGAAATTTCATGGATTTAAAATAACTCAACTACGCAACGATTGTTTAAGTTATACGCGACAGTGAACTTTTCATAATGAGTCCATTACCCAGTTATAGACTCGGTTGTTAGATTATTAGAAACTCCATTTCGTCGTCGAATGAATTGTAATAAAAATAAATTACTTTATAAGAAGGTAATCTAATTTCTATATTGTTAGCTTTATTCACCCCCCCCCCACCAAAAAAAAAAAAAAAATAAAAAAAATAAAGTATTCTAATCATTATGAATGGTTATTATTTTTTTTCCCCGTGTGTGTATTCGCGAACCACCACTGGAGATAAAAAAGAAAAAATATTATTTTCAAATGATATTTATTATTTACGATACAATTTGGGCATTTCATAGTTGCTGTGTCTGATTATAATTACCAAATTTATAAACTACAGTTTGAATTGATTAAAAATAAAAACTGAGGTATTATGCAAATATTAATGTTTATAGTCATACATCATTTTAACCAAAATGAAAAATTATAATATATAATCTAAAAAAAAATATTGAGACTAGATATTTTATTTTCGACATATAACAACATAAAAAGTGTTATTAACTAAGAGTTTTGAGTTTTTAATCCATCTCCCTCATAAACGCCTATATATTTTATCGCTTGAAACAAAATGTCGAATAACTTGTTGATAAATTATAGTTAATAGTATCACACAATATTTAATATTATGTAATGAGTATTAATATGTGAGTCATCTTCATGAATATAATATGATACATGTATTATGATTATTTGCATTTTAAAATACCTACCACAAAATTGTACATAATAATATTATATTGTAATTATTTATTACAATATTATTTAAATTCAACCAAAATCTTTTGATTGCTTTAATATAATTACAAAATTATAATAAATTAGTTTTATTATATCAATTAAAACAAACAATAGAGTTGCAATTTTAAAATGCACAATAATAATACTAATTATGAATAAAACTTTTTTTTTACGTTGTAATGCCTTTTATAATATTTTCTTTCTTCAGCAAATAATTTTCAATACACGCTTTTAGATTCAAAGTACTATTAAGCGATTTTTTTATATACCTTTTGTTAAAATATGATTTAATTTCGCGTTAGATACTTTAATTAATACATTGTCAAAGATAATATAAAGTAAAATTATTCGAAACTTGTTGACATATATTATACAATTTTAAAAAATCCAGTAGGTTAATATAAACATTAAACATAATTAACTTATGGATTAGTTAATCCTCCATCATCTTCTTCTTCCGGCTTGAACTAAGAGTTTTCTCTAAGCATTACTGATTCACTCCGTCTCGTGTAACTCTTATAATATAGCTTTCCAATACTGCACTAATTTTAGATATTTTTCTATGTATTCACCTCTTTTGATTCAATCTTCCAGTCCATACCTAGTCTAATTGCTGCATTCCCTCATTGTATTCTCAGACATATACTTGAATTTAATTGATTTAATAGATAGCTGATTTAATTGACAGGTGCCATTCTCATTCCCTTCTGTAATTCTCATCAAGTACCGAACCACTTATTATTTTCCATATTTTATTTTCAATGGTATTCTGCAGTGTTCTCTCTGTGACATTTTACTTCTGGTTGGTTATGCTCTACAAGTAACGACCGTCGACCATGCGTTAGAGTTAGAGAGAACTTTAATATTTTATTATATACAGTCTTATTTTTGTACTTTTTAGAATTTAGATGAAATGGTTATTTGTACTTAATATATTATATAATTTAACTATTTGTTTTATTACAGGAGAGCATCCAGCGGCCATGCAAAAAGGTTCGAAGCTGAGTTTGAAATCTTCACTATCATTCCTCAGCGTCGGCTTGGTGTTATTTATTAGCACGTGATTTACATATTGTAATATAATATTATAAATAAATTATAAATTGTAAAATACTAAAAACAAAAATTAAAACTTTCAAGTTGTACAATTATATATATTGTTACATAATAATATATAATCATACCTATATTATATTTTCAGTCATGCAATAACTGTATACTCAAACCGTTGTTTATATTATAAATCTATAAAGGTATTTAAATGTTTATACATGTTAACAAAAATACCCAAAACTATAGGCATGATGTGTTGTTCCCAATATTTATTTTTAGTGTAATTTTTAAAAATATTAAACTAAATGTTGTTCTATTCATTCTGTTTTATACAGAAACTCCTTTATAAAGATCAAAATAATTATACACTTCGAACAATATTTTGTCTTCCATCAGTGATAGTTACTTTAACTAATTGGTGTAATGGTACTCTAAGTACCATTGAGTATTAATGTATTATTGGCCCAAAGTCAACAAAATCATCATAATCAAAGTCCGTATTTCGATCGTATCTTATAATAATATATATATAGATAATAATTTAATGTAAAATAATGTCAAAATTGGTTTTTGAAACAAATTTCTAAAATAAAAACTCGTCTTGGTTATGTTTGACTATAAGTAGGTACATTTATACCGTGCGGAACCATTATATTCATTCTGTTTATAAGGAGTATTTTTTTTTTTCATTACATTTTCTTTGTTATTGTAAATATAATTAATTTTCAAATCATAATTTTTAATAGTATGGTCGTAGGTGAATAATATTAAAATATAATTAAATTAAGTCAGCGGCCAAAGACGGGGCCACATAACACACGAGTACCTAAATTCATTTTTGGTACTGAACTCTACTATGGAAATAATAAATTAAAAATGATTTTTTTTTTTGCTAAGCATTTGAGAATCTAAACAGAAAAATAAAATTAATCAATTTATTAATTATTAATGTGGTTTTATACAACCAAAGTGAATAAAAGATATATTAAAACTGTTTTAAACATTACAATTTACAACGAACTAATAGATTTTATATTTGAATAAATTGTGCATAATTATAGATTTATAAGGTCAATTTATCAAATAGTATAACAAAATTAGTATTGAATATTTGTTATATTCTATTTGCGACTTTTAACATACCTACAATACTTTCAATGATCTTCAACCGCCATATATTCTATTATGAAATAAATTAAATTAAATAATTGAAACCAATAGATCAACTTCATTATTATAAAATATATATATATTGTATTCCATATAGTGTCAATTTAAATATTTAATAATACTAGATCTGGTAAGTCTATTAAATAAGTACTAAATATTATTGGGGCAAAAAAATGGAATATTTTATAACTTGAATATTGAATTCCATACATTGCTTTGTACATAATATCTTATTCGAGTATTGAAGTAACTGAATGGCTTCAGTGCTTATAAGTTTTTTATACAACACAATAGTACATTTTAAATACGTTGGATTTATTAAAAAAAATAATAAACAATGATTATTAGATTGCTTATATACCTACAAAATATCATTTTTATACAGTAACCCAAAATAATTAATAAGAACAGCAATTCAGCCTATTGGCCAATCGTCGTCTCAGAATGAAAAGGTTCTTACATAATTGTTGTAATTGTTCAGGAGAACGTTTTAAGTTAGCCCGTACCTATCATTCACGAATGAATTAGAACCTTTTCATTCTCTGTATCTCATTGAATCAACGGATCGATACGATTCCAAGATTGAATTATACAACAAAAAATATTCAATAATAATATGCAAAACACCCATTTTTCAAAAAAATTGATTTAGAACCTTTTCATTCTGAGACGAAGCAATACCTATTCCATATTTTGTCATCTTAAAACAATTATGTAAAAACATGATTTTTGAAAAATAAATCTAAAATATACCCAAACATACCTGATTAATATTATTATATAACGTATAACTTTCCTGAAACAATTTTTATTCATATATTCTGATATCCATACAGACTTTTGGGTGGTACCTATAAATGCATGCATATAATAATTAATAATTATATAATTTAATATAAGTGTATAATTATTGTAAAATAAATAATTTACATCGCCAAAAATTGAGTTTAGGTATACTTCAAACATACTTTTTAATTCTTTTACATATATTATATGAATTTTTTATTGTATAGATAAAAATATATATAATCTTAACATTGTTTTTGAATATATTTTAATTTGTTTATAAGATTACAATATACATTTAAATGTGTAAAAAAAATTATGTACTAACCTGCAAAATGAACGTTTATACTCATAATTATGCTTTACGCAGTTAATCAAACGTTGTATAATAAATAAAAATAAAAATATTTATGTACGTATCAATACTTGATAAATATAATACAGTTAAGCAAATATTATGATCTGTTATAAGTTATAACAGTATTGATCGTACATTATCTAATAACCTATAATTATTAAGGAAATATTAAATTTAAGTAATGGTGAATTTTTTTTTTAATCGGCACTAAGTTATAAAAATAATAGACGAACATTAATTTTTTCAAAATATTTTTATTTTTGTAAATAAATTAGTAAAGTACACGTTTTGTGAACAAATTTAAATATGTAGAGTTGAATAATTATATTTATTGTTTATTTTATTCTTGTTGTATACACCATTTCATACATTTTATCATCATGAAACATGTATAGTTATCTATAAAATTTTGTTAAGTTTTTCTTATTTTAATCTTTTCTTTTATATAAACATACATACAAATATTTATTCATATAAGTTAATGTTACCTACCTAATTAATCGTAATTTGATGTTCATTAAATGTTATTTTATTCTGAATTAATTTGTTTTTATTTTATTATTTAAATTAATTATGATTATTGTATGGAAGATACATTAATGAACAATATATAGCCTAAAATAATAACTAGTCAAGAAATTCAAAAAACCTATATCCGATACAGACATTACCGGATCACCCACAACCCACCTAAATCCTAATACATATTATATAATATATTTTGATTATTACATTTTACAATTGATAGATCGGTTAATACTTTATAATATTGTTTATTGTACAAACTACTTACCTAATTTTAGGTTTTTAGACAGTTTAGAACACCTTATATCCCTGGTGTGTCCGTCAGTTAGTTAATAGTACACAGTTAGTAGTTACGATTGTTCATAATTATATATTTATTTATTGTCCATTAGTTGTTCCATAAATTATAATTATGTACTGTCTATATATTGTACATGGGATATGCAGGTTATATAGTACTGTTTATTGCGCTGTATTAAAATATGTTTGAAACTGGGTACCTATTTAGCACGCTCGCATAATGAGCTTTTTTTATCATTAACCTATTCATTAATCTTTTCAAAAAAAAAATTAATTGTTTCGGTGTAATTTATAAATACAATTTTTATAATTATGTATGCACAAATTTTAATCATTTTTAAGCTTTTCAAAACCAAGTTTCCCTATTTGCCAATTACCAAGTTTATTCTTTTATAATAATATGATTACAAAAGTTTATATCTAACTACGATATTTAAATCGTTTTATTCTTTTCTTATAAATTATTTTAATAGAATAACTAAATATTTTTTTGTTTTTACAAAACAATTTCTAAAATAATTTAATATTTATGGAAATTTCATATTATATAATTAAGTATATTTGCTCTCATTCTTCGAATGTACTTTTTTAACGCAATAAAATCCGTTAGGCCAATATTTTATTTCGAAATAAAATAAAAGTTGGTACTATACGTTATAATATGTTTATTTGTGCCATGTGTATTGATAATGATTAACGACAGCTTATAGACCAATGCAAATTAAACTGCAACAGAAACACATTCAAAATATTATCTATAATCATATTTTTAAGCATTATGTTGGATCACTAAAACATTGAGATATCATCAACTATTATCAACTAATAAAATAAGTTCATATACCAAATAATTATTGCCTAGCTATACGCATTTTGCACAGTCCTCAAACCCTGTCAATCTATACCAGTAAGGCGCGAATTACCATCCATTTTTACTGCCAACCAATAACCATAATATTGGTTTTTAAATAATTCTAAAATATACCTTGTATATTGGTAAAAATAATGCTAATGTTCAATAAAGACAAATTACAATCCCGATGATTTCTGTATCAAAGAATGGATAATACAAATAAAAATCACAGTAGGTATTTACCTACTATATTATAATATAGTATAGGTATATATTATATTATATGGCATACGTATACGTATATAATATTGAAACTATTTTTTATGAATTCTAAGAATAAGTGGATCTAAACAGGTACCTACCTAGTAAATAATTGTCTACCTATTCAAATGGATGATGATGAATTTATAACCCTTTATTTACATATTTATTGACAAATTCAAAAGAAATTAAAAATATATTCACTATACAGTATACATACAGAAACCTATAATATAAGTTAACCTAGTTCACACCATACCAAAAAATAATTTTCTTCGATATGACTTTCGGTTTTATTTTATATTAAAATCAGTTACATACATATAAATAATAAGTACGACTGGCAAATAAAATAAGGTTGCATAAGGTTTGAATAAAAATAGGATGAAGAGGCCTCCAGGTCGAGAGATTTTATCAAACTTATATAATAACAAATATTAATTCTATTATTATTATTATTATTAATAATAATCTTGAAGGGGTAACAACAACACTGCACAGACAATGTTTTATGTCGATAACTAATCAAAAACAAACCTAACGAGTTACTGGGATTATGGTAAATAGATAAGTAAATAAGTCCAAAGTAGTTACATATAATTCATGAATCAGCGTTATCTTATCGTTTTAGCTTTTCTTTAGACATTTCACAAGTGAACGAAAAAAAACAACAATCAGGTTGACCGCATAATTATTTGTTTGAATTACTTGCTTGGTTCATAATAAAATGTATCGTTTTTTCTTCTGTTTTTCACCAC